CATTTATTAAGGGGATTAACCGCAATAGACAGCTCGTGCCTAGTGTGAATTTTTCTGAAAACATGGGTTTCTATTCCAAACATTGTAATTTAACGCTGCGAGATAAATATCTAATTTTTTATATGGTAACAGACAAAGGTTCACACTAACTCAGTACATTGTTGGCTTTCAATAATACGGTCATCAAAATCTTCTACAAGTGCTTAAAATTGATGCTTCTTGTAGGACACGTATTTTCAATAGAAACTAAAAAATTAAAAAATGGCCTTGGACAAGCTTTAGAACAAAGCTTTATCTATCTTACTACAAAATGTCAATCCTCTATTTCAAATATTAAACTCATGATATCTAGAACCGATAAGCATGTTTTTACTCTATGGCGCGTGTACCACTGAATCCCCTTAATGTATCGGCATCTTTTGAGTAAACAAAGATTCGGTATTATTTTTCAACGTATCAGCATCTTTTGAGTAGGTACTATTAGCTAGTGCCTAGGAGACTTTTATAAAAGGTGTAACCAAGCGGACTAATTTCAAAATTCAAAACAAGAAAAAATCACTAATTGTAAATTTTTTTACTTGCCTAAAGCTGATTATAACGATTAATTAATTGCGAATTTATCAATACATTGATTTTATTTTGATAAATTTTGACTTTATTTTGGAACCTTAGAATTTATCCCCTATGATTCCATACTAATTACCATTTCATATCAACGGTTTCTGTATTCGCTGCATATTTATGGAATGTATACCCCACGAATAAAAAGCTTTTACTTTATTTATAAACGATATTAATCAAGCTATAAATAGTTCTTTTAATTTGTATGCAGATAACTGCAAAAATTTGGCGAAAAATTACAAATAAAAACGACACCCGGTTACCACAAGAAGACTTGAATAGCTTAGCTAATTGGTCTACTGCAAATAAACTAGAACTTAATGTTTCGAAATGTAAGTTTCTCCGATGCACACGAAATAGTAGAATTACACAAACGCAATATTCTCTACAGGACGAAAACCTTGAATTAGTATCTGCCTTTAAAGACCTTGGTAAAATTATTGATGGTAAAATGACTTTTGATGATCACATTGATTTTATTGTCAACATAATGCCTGTTGTTGTATTTTTCTAAATAAAGATAAAAAAAATCTTATCAATGAAAAGTATAACCTATGGGCGTTTCTAATGTTGAAGAACGGGAGTTAATGACCCCAGAAGAATACGCAGAATTCTGTCAATAACAGTTGCAATTACGAGAAGATCCAGAAGAATCAGCTGAGAAAGTTGAAAATGAAGAAGATTTTGCGACTGTCTCTTTAGACCAGAAGGCATAATGGATACTAATTACCTTCAACAAATTTCGAAACTATCCTTTATTATTTATCGTTCCTAACGGTTTAAAAATTCTTAGACACAGGACCTCACAAATTTGGATGTTCTTTAGAACAAAGTATTGAAGTATTAGCAAACGCAGAAAATGGCATAGTAAATATTCCGTCTAACGAAGAAATAAGTTGAACATTTGATGAACCTGTACAAGTAGAAGCTATGGATGCTTATGAAGAATCAGACTATGACATTATGATAACAAAACAAGGACTAACAACATTCATAAACGCTGTTAAACATAACACCAGAACTAATGGTGACCCAATTTATGTCAAAAGTTACAGACATCCTTATCACCTGAAGGAACACATAAAACGACAAATTGAACATTTATTACAGAAGAATATTATCCAACATTCCATATCGCCATATTCTTCACTGGTGTGGATTGTACCCAAAAAGCAAGACGCAAGTGGAAAACGAAAATATACGATGGTAATAAACTACCGCAAATTAAACCAGGTATCTTTTACCACGCATTGATATAATTTTAGACAAATTAGGAGGATGTACTTATTTTTCTACTCTCGATCTAGCTCAGAGATACCACCAAATAGAAATCGACGAAAAATCTGTTGAAAAGACTACATTGACTGTAGAAGGGGGGGGGGCACTATATGAGTATGTTCGGATGTCATTCGGTTTAAAAAATGCACCCGCAACGTTCCAGGCAGTTATGGAAAATATTCTAGGACCCTATATATACAAATTCTGTTTCGTATACATCGATGACGTTATAATATTCTCAAAATCATTGCAAGAACACTTACATCATCTTGAACTCATATTTGAAAAATTAAAACAGTATTATCTCAAACTACAACCTGATAAATGTGAATTTTTGCACAAAGAGGTACAATTTTTAGGACATGTTGTCACTGCCGAAGGAATGTCACCAAATCCAGACAAACTGAAAACCATTAAAAGTTTCCCAATACCCCATGATTGAACTAGTTTAAAATCATTTTTAGGACTTATAATATATTATAGAAAATTTATACAAGACTTTGCAAAATTAACAACTCATAGATCCATATAGGCCACCGTTTCAAGGACCTTTACTTGCTGAAGAACCCTTCGAAATTGTTCACATGGATGTATATCAATTTGGACAAACGAAATTCCAAACATTTTTGGATCTTTTTAACAAACACTCCCTCATACCAGTTAGAAATAACAAATGCATTGGAAATACTTAGAAAATTTAGACACTACATAATGCATTACAATTTACCCAAACGAATTGTAACAGACAATGGAAAAGAATTTGACAACATACTTTTCAAGGATTATCTAAACGCTTTTAATATAGATGTTCATCTAACCACGCCTTACAATCCTAATTTGAATTCACCCGTAATGAGATTTCATCGAACTCTAACATAAAAATGAAGAATTTTACGAGAAAATGATCCAGAGAGCACTCTTGAGGATAATGTACAAACCGCAGTATATATGTACAATAATAGCATTCACTCTTCAACCGATTTTACACCTTTTGAAATTTTATATGGACCTTTTAAAGAAATTAATCTATTAAGAACCTCTTTGCAAAAACCTATGCATGAATATTTTCAAAATAGAAGAAAAGAATTAATAAAATTGTATGAGCAACTATTTCAAAACCAAAAAGAGAGAGTACAGAAACGCCTTTGTAACGTTAATGAAACAGAAATTATTCCAATGTCTAAATAACACAAGCAAGAATATTTGTAAGGACTCAATAACAGCGAAAATTAACAAATAAGTATCAAATTGCCATATTTGAAAATAAAAATGACAAAAATATACTTAACATCACCCCAGAGAAAAATAAGAAATCTACCAACCGTCATTTACCTAAAATGAGAAGATTATTAGAAAAGAAATTTCTCTACAGTATCAGTTGGAGACCTCTTCCAGGAGAGAACCTCAGGATCCAGTAAATTAACAGTACCGCTGGATATTTAAAAGAAGAGTTAGGACAAACATATATATTTGATCACTACCATATGATATATTTCGCTTTCAATCACTCTTCATTGTATTCGTCATATTTAAAGCTATTAAATGCTGCTACTCTTATCAAATATAAAATTGGAAAAAGTAAAAGAAATGGACCAGCACAAGACTACCAGATCCCTACGCCCATAAAGGAAGTTAACTTAAAGAAAATAACTATCAAAACATTAAACGACTTATATCTATAAGAGATCAAGTCAGTTGTATTAAAATATTCAACCTATTTGTATTATTTATACATTACAATAATTGGTAAATGTCTAGATGATGGCCCTTACCCCCTTTGGTGGATGGTATCGAAAGAGGAGGTCTCCCCCACCACCACTGTACCATAAAAAGTTCGTGGCGGTCTCACCCCCATAAAAAGTTATGGGGTTGAAAGTTGATTATTTTGACAATTTTCATACACTATAATTCAAATAAAATTCAATAAAAAAAATATTTTCAAGCGGGTCGAGGTGGGAGATCGAAAGAGGGTGGTCACTTGAACAAAACCCGATAACCTAACCTAACCTACCCTNACTTAATAAAATAATTGTTTTTAAAAATAAAGTTTCATTAATTGAAAAGATAATTTTTTAGCGTTGTCATTTATTCATTTTTTAATTAAATTTATATAAAGTCTCATGTGTTAATAAACAATATTCCTTGATAAGGAACATAGAATAATTATTTCTATGACGAAATGAGGCGTGCAATGGAATCCGGGCAAATGTAAAGTGTCGCGCCTGAAGAATTAATTTTATTTTAGTAGCATAAGCGATCTCGTATCAGTAATTTTTACATCTTTGAGATATCGACCTCTCTTCCAACTCTTGCGACCTACCTACCTGCTGAATAATAGCTCATTTACTTGTTTATACGCATATTTCGCAGTAAATATTGAGAAAAATTGTGGAACACACGAGAACGATATTTTTTGCGTAAAAAAGGTCATTATATATAACATTTTTCAAATCAATATTTTTTAACAAACCCAAATTAAAAGATCTTCATTAGACATGAAGCTATCAACTTGATTGCCTATAATCTTAATAAAATAAAAATGTTAGAATGCGGCGCAAGCTAGATTCGTGCTGGTTTTTCGTCAGGTAAAAGGGTAAACAACATTGCCACCAATTTATTTCTTCACCTAGTTCGTGCAGTGTATATGTCCTGATCAAAGAAACTCATGTAACGATACTATACGTATAATTAATACATAAGCAGGTAGATACCCAAAGAAGCCGTAGCTTCTATTATGATATATTACCCTAATAAACTGTTTCAAGGGAGCCGTAGTACAGACCTCCCTTGCCGTTTTTACTGTAACGTATTTTGTAAAAGAGGTTGCCTAGTTCGAAAACGATTTGTTTGAACATTAATAAGACCCCTTTAAGACTTAATTTCTGATTTAAAACTACTAGAAAATGATTATCACTAGATACGAAGAACTACACTAACACTTAACAAATGTCATATTCACTTAAAGTTTAAATTATTAAATTAAACAAGCCAACAATATAATCGTAATTATTAATAAAAAAAAAATTCATAATTTCACACAGCACATGTAAGCTGAATAAGCTCATAGAAGCGCCGGCGTACATGCATGATTCTCGTAACTCTTGATAGACCCGCTCCAGATTTCCTACTTCAAGTTACTCGATTCGTAACTAACAGCAATCGCAGTACTCATTACTATTTTGTGAAACTTTCTGGATGCTTTTCAGGTGTCATTGCATAAATATGAAAATTCATGGTACAGACAACCTCTGAGGAACTGTATGATATGCAGAATGCAACTACTGCAAGGGCTGTTTTATGATTTTATCATTTTTCTTGTGATCTTAGTAGTGGGTATAGTTTATAGCGGATAGCGGAGCAAATTGCAATCTATCTAGCAATTTATTTTTATTATTGAAACCTTTGTGCTTGGAATGAGTCCAGTTAAAGTGGTGCTGTCTGATATTGCTGCTAGTAAGGGTGAAGGCTTAATGGCTGTTGAAGTCGATGTTTATTATGACATAACCAAACTTTTAGAAGCAAGCTGCAAATGAACCGGTGACAACATCATTTTATTAATTTGAATACCCTTATCGATGCCACAGTTACAAAATCGAATCGACTGATATCAGTACAAAATGATTTATACTAGATACGGTTTATGTGTTCTTTGTAGTTTATTACTACTGTTGATTAATAGTAGTTTTAGTGTTGAAAATGTAATTTATGCTGTTAATTGTGGTGGAGAAGCACATACTGATGTAAATGGAATTCGCTATGAAAGGGATCCTTTACATGGAAGAGTTGGAATAGCTTCTGATTATGGGAAGAGGTTGTTTATAGGTAGAATTCCCCCACAAGACCAAATTTTATATCAAACAGAAAGGTGAAAAATGAATGATATGTTAATTTACAATAAGTTTATTAGTTGATGTTGCAGATATCATACAAACACTTTTGGATATGATATACCTATACCAGATGATGGTGATTATGTTATTGTCTTAAAGTTTTGTGAAGTTTATTTTACAAGCCCTGATCAGAAAGTGTTTGATGTGGTTCTTAATGGCGATCACACTGTTGTTGCAGATTTGGATATTTTTGATAAAGTCGGACGTGGTGTAGCACATGATGAATATATTCCTTTCACAGTTTCAAAAGGTAGTAATATTAAAATAATTATAGCCTATAAAATTACAATGATTTTTAGGTCGGCTTTTTGTAAATGGGGAAGAATCTGATATTAGGGGAGGCAAGATACGTATAGAATTTATTAAGAGTTACAAGGATAACCCTAAAATTAATGCAATACTAGTTTTAAAGGGAAAATTAGAAACTGTTCCTAAGCTTCCACCTCCAGAACAAGAACCTGCTGAAGAAATTAGAGAAGAGTCTGAATATGTTCCTAAAAATAGGAAACCTAGTGGACCTAAACAACCGGATCCATATTCCATGGATGATTCATCAATGATGCTTCCAATATTTATTGCAATAGGAGCATTTATTCCATTATTATTTTGCTTATGTAAATTGTGATTTTAAAATGATAGGGATAGTCAACTTACTAATTTGAAAGGGTATATTTACATTTAGTTTGAAAGGTATTGGGTGTGGGAATTAGAATAAAGCAATGTACTTAGTAAAGGGCTGCATGAATGTATGAATAGGGTTCTTGAAATACAAGCTTTTGTTGAAGCAAAATTTGCAACCAATATGAACAAAATTTATACTCTAAAGAACCCAATAATAGTTCTCTATTATTTTATACCTTAATCATATATCGTACCTATGTACTAAAAATTAGGTATTTTATTTCTTTTGAATAACAGGAAAAACAATTGATTTTCATTCAAAAATTAAACAAGGAAGTAAGCTACTGAAAATAGTAAGTAGAATAGATTATAATAAGAAAGGAAACCATTATTATACAGAATTTTTTGTGTTCATTATGTATAAGTAATTAAGTTCCCATTGGTAGAATTATGACGAAACTGTACATTTTAATTTAAATAATGCATTATTAACTTTTGTTGCTGGTGTTTTGAAGGTTTAATTATGGTTAACATCTTAAAATTTTTTATTTATTTGTAAATACAAATATAAATAAAGGAAATGCAAAGTATTGGTTGTCATTAACAATAATTAAATAATTTTATCTAAAACTAAAAATTCATTCAGTTCTGACAGGGCAGTGGAAGTTGAATTACCTCTTTTTCCAGATACATCTTGTACAGGGTTTTTCAAATTTAATTGACATTAGATGTATTAAGGAAACTAAGAAGATTTGGCGGTAGAAGTTATGGAGGATAAATCGTTTTACTAAAGAACTTCAACTGTCGATATCGGCCACTTTTATCTCAAATTCGTATGAAAAACAAAATTGTAAGTTTCTTAGATACCTAATAATTTAATTTTTTAAAGATCTCTGCCGCAACTCATCATTATAAGGTCATCAGTCCTAAGACTGGTTGGACACGTACCTCCACTCTTTCCTATACTGAGCTAAACTTCGCATTTCCCTAAAACTAGAACAGCCCACATCCTTAACTATTTACGGACAGTAATCTAATCTAGGTCTACCTCTACCCCTCCTAACTCCTGTTTCTGTCTCTAATATGCCTCTGACTAAACCTTCATGCCTGAGAAGGTGTCCTACCAACCTATCTCGCCTATTTTTTAATATCTTCCATAGAGTCCTCTGTTCNAATGTTGAAATTTGTACTAGTTATGTTTAACGTCATACCAAAATTGAACTTCATAATTTATACAGGGCGTTTAAAAAATATCTGAAGTATAAGACCCTCAAGCACTCAGACTAAAAAAGTGAGTAATGTTTTTATGTACCTTTAACAGATTTGTATACGTTCAAAGTACATACTAGCACTACTCAATCCTACCCATTTTGTTACTCAGAAAATAAGTAGGTAATGTCTGGCGGCTCTGGGATCTTGCTTTATTATGATCAACGGGCTTATTAGATTTAATTTTAGGCCGAGTTATTGAAAAAATACTTAATGTACTACGATGTATTTCTTTCAAGTCGGTTACTGAAATATGGGTCAATCCATCAGTACAAGCATTGTTTTGATCTTTGTACTGTACATAAAAATTATACTCCAAAAAGAAAAAATTATAGTCATACAGATATGGTTTTCTTGATCACAGATTTGTGTTATTCTCTTGTAAATACACTACAACTATTGGAAGTTCCTTACCTTCGAAATTCTGGAAAAGACAGCTCCACAAGTGAAATGTCGGGGAAGCCCGAAAACAAATAATAATATTACAAATAACTGTTAAGTTAACTAAGAAGTGTTGAAATTCTTACCAGTTATAGTCGTCTCTAATAGCTAATGTTATACTAAAATTGAACTTCATAATTTAAATTGGACATTCAGAAACAAAGTTTAAAAAACTACCGTATCACGCCGCTGTTCGGGTGCGAAACATGGACAGTGAGCGCGGCGAAAAAGAAACTGTTAGAAGCGTTCGAAATGTGGTGTTACAGACGAATGATGAGGATACCGTGGATAGAGAAAGTTAGAAATGAAGAGTTATTAGGAACAGTAGAAGAACAAAGAACTCTATGGAAGTCAATAAGAAATAAGCGAGATAAGTTAGTAGGACACCTTTTCAGGCACGAAGGTCTAGTCAGACATACTAAAGGCAGATACGGAAGTTAGGAGGGGTAGAGGTAGACCTACATTAGATTACTGTTCGCAGATAGCTGAGAAGTTTGGCAACATCGCATTGCTTCGATGTGAGAGTCCTATTTTGCGAGTCTTACTTCTTATTAATATATGCGTCGCTATACATGATTTTTAGACACCCATTACGATAAAAATGAATTAAATTATTAAATAAGTAACATTTGTTCATCACTGATAGTATGTGACGTTATTTAAAATATGTAGGTATTAAGAACAAACTATAAAAGACAATAGATTAGGTAAACATTGATAGGTACCCATATGAATGTCATCTCGATAATTGTAATTTTATTAAGGCAAATTTCCACACCACCATTGAGGTATTGCTAAGGCGCGTTACTTTTTTTTGGGGTTCGCCAATGGCCCCGCTATCCCATTAGAAAAAATTAATTACAGTTTGAACGTTTCTAATTTACGGATTTTTGCTGTCTTACAGTTAGCTGAAATTGAATTGGAGTGGCGGGACTCTTACTTTCAATAATTTATAATTTTAACGTAATCATAAGCAAAACATTAGTAAAAGAAGATAAAATTTGGAAGAGTGCATCTTTATAATGTTTTCCACAACTACATATTTTTGAAAATTGTTAATGCTCCTAAAATTAGTTTTTAGTATTCAGCTCGTGGACATTGTGTCTGCAGATTTTTGTTATTACTTATTTCTTCAAGAATGGCATAAATGTGAAAAAACCTACACTGACATTATCATTAGGAACAGAAAATCTTCCTCTTTGTAAAAATAAATATGTCCAACGCAAAAGCCTTTATTGTTTATTATGAGCGAAACACAATTGTTGCAAATTATCTTTTTACCAGCACAATGAACTGCATATCCTGAAATGTAAATTTTTATGGAGTCATCTAAATTACAATTCATTAAATAATCGGAATTTAAAATATCAATAAACTGACTTATGTTTAAGGGATTTCAACAATTTAAATTTCTGTTTCATCAGTCTCTGGTAATTTAGGATATGTTAAAAACACATTCAAAACATTATCGACAGTGGATACTTTTTTTTCTGTTTTTATAATGTCACTTTCGTTCACGTGATGTATGTAAACAGCAGAATATTTTCATGGAGTTCCAATCTTTGCGAGGTATAGCACTTATGCATTTTTTTTCGCATTTCATCATTTTTTTGGGAATAAAAATACAGACATACTTACATTTTAAAGATGATTTATAATTTGAGTTGCAACCGGGAACACAACAGCGATGAGGTATTTTGTAAAAATAAACACACTATCTGACCTAACACTTCTTTCACTTAATAGTTAATATTACCATCTGCAATTAAAAATTGTATCCAAAGGCATTAATCACTAAAACACACTATAAGCATCCTTATTGCACATTAATTGCACGATATTTCCGCTAAAATTAAAATATCAAAAAACAACGAAAGAAAAACAACAACCAATGTATTAGTTGTAACATTCATTAACTGGGAAATCCTGGGACTCCCACAGTGTTGTCAAGTAAACCTTCAGCACGGCTTACAGGCTTAAGTAGAGACGGCTTGGCAGATAGTTAAGGATATGGGTTGTTCTAGTTTTAGGGAAATGCGAAGATTAGCTCAGGATAGGAACGAGTGGACGACCTTATGATGATGATGACCTACCGTATTTTACTTTGGCATTTGATTCCTCTTTTTATCTTCTTTCAACCCACATGGATGTCTTATATTGCTTTATTTGAAAATTTTTGAGAAATTTGGAATTTTATCTGAAATAGATAATTTCATGGCATAACAAAGGTATGACATGGACAATTAACAGCTACCGCAAATGTTGAAATCAAAAGTTTATTTTTCTTTTTTTTATATTACAAAAATTCAGATATAAATACCTACTTAATTCTGTGTTTATGGAGAATCCCATAAAAGAAAATTCTGGACATTATTAACTTGTAAACATACATCTTATGTTTTCATAATATTGTAGCGACCACGAGCGTGATTGTGTGCGATCAGGCATACGTGTGTGTGAGCGGCTTATCGATTCGCCGACTAGCCGCGGGCGCTTTTCTTCATGTGCGCCGTATCTGTGAACGTGTGTGTCGTACCTGCGTTCCGGGAAAGCAATTAAACAGTTCAAAGAAAACGAGACATCTCTGGACGACAGGAGAATGTTCCTGAAAGAAGGCAAGGGAGTATAAAAAGGAAGAGACGATCGCCGGAGTAGAGTAGAATAAATTGACCGTTGCAGAAGTGAATCAAGAAATAAATTGATAGTGATAGAAGTGAAATAAATAAAACTGCAAATAATAACAGAAGTGTAAATAAATAGAATAATTACCTAGGTTTAGTAATAATTTAATAGCACTTTTAAGTTCAATAATAATTAGTGTAAATAAATAGTTTTCTTCTTAAAAGTTAATTTGTTAAACCCACGAACATTACAATATTCTTTCAATCGATCAAAAAAACAAAAACCAACAAAAAATCTTTAATATCCTTATTCCGTCAAATTCCTCTTAAATGAGGATACATACAGTTTATTAAATTATCTGAATGTTGTTTCTTAAACGATGTTGTATTCTCCTTAAATACAGAATGAATTACCTAATTAAATTAGAATTGCAGTATTCAATATAACCTTGGACTTTTATGATTTTTGTAACATAAAAAAGAAAGATAAGGTTTTGGTTTTTAACATTCGCTATAGTTGTCAGTGGTCTATGGCATACTTCTGTTATGCCAAAATCAGTGAAACTATTCCAGATAAAAGTTTAAATTTATTTAAAAATTTTCAAATAAAGCAATATGACTTTTTTTACGCCCAATATAAATTAGTCGGAAATCGGAAAATTTAAAACTTGAGATGAATATATATATAATAGGTTAAAGTAAAGACGGTGCAAATGCAGTTTCTTTTGGATTAGTCAATAAAAATGATAGGGGAGATAGATAGAATTTTGCGATAAATTTAACCGTCCCGAATATGCTTTATTCAACCATTACGTTAGGAAGCGCTATACGTGGAAGATTGCAGGTGATTTAGGGAGATATAACCTAGATTACATATTTATTAGGCAACCTTTTGAAGATGATTTGCTGCCGCCACACATTCTCCACCGGCCAGTTCTCATCAAAACTAAATCGGTCACCCTGCGGAGCAGCGCAGCCCTGCTCCTCGGCAAGCAGCATGTAAGCTAACAACACCGCCCAGGCCAGCCGCAACGTGACGCCCAATCTTGCCACAACACGCCGCCGTTCACCATGTCCCTTGACCGACTAGACGTCCAATTGCCACCCTTTGTGCCTTCCAACCCCGAACTCTGGTTTTGCATGGTCGACCGTAGCTTTGAGGCCTACGGAATTACGTCCGAATCAACAAAGTTTGGGTATGTACTAGGCAACCTTGACCCTCACTATGCGGCGGAAGTGCGTCATATCATTGTTAATCCCCCAGTGACTAAACCATATGCCACCATTAGGGCAGCACTCATTCGTCGGCTGGGCATCTCCCAAGAAACACGGATGAAACAACTCCTCGAGCCTGGAGATTTGGGAGACAGGAAACCCACGCAATTTCTGTGCCATCTACGCGGTCTGGCCGGAACCACTATGTCGGACAATTTACTGCGAACCATTTGGTCAAGTCGTCTTCCTCCTAATATTCANACAGGAAACCCACGCAATTTCTGTGCCATCTACGCGGTCTGGCCGGAACCACTATGTCGGACAATTTACTGCGAACCATTTGGTCAAGTCGTCTTCCTTTTAATATTCAAGCCATCATCGCAACTATGCGCGATAAGAATCTGGATGAAACAGCAAAGGTCGCCGATTACATCATGGAAGCAACTCAAACACAGTCCATGATAACAGCTACGACCACACCTACTCTCCAGCACGATACCATCCAACAACTGACCAACATGGTACATACCCTCCAGATGGATCTGAACAACATGAGACGACACATGGCAAGAAAACTGAAGAACCAATACCGTTCAAATTCGCACAGTTCTCTACCTCGACAGCGTTCCAACCACAATATTAGGGCAAATGGTCAAGGACAAGGCACACAAACGCATCCCACCATGACGGATGACAACAGGAAATTAACCAACAAACCACGTATGGCAACAACAAGTGAGGTCCACACAGCGCAACGTCGCCTATTTGTAACGGACAGAGCCACAAACCAAACATTTCTGGTCGACACCGGTGCGGATATCTGCGTGTATCCCAAGTCACTAATACCTGGGCCATGTCAGAAATCCACATTCACGCTACAAGCAGCAGACGGCACCAACATACCGACCTATGGTACTATTATTCTGTCGCTCAACTTAGACCTACGAAGATGTTTCCCATTGCGTTTCATTATAGTCGACGTCACCAAACCAATTATCGGTGCAGATTTCCTAGCCCACTATCAACTGCTGGTAGATTTAAGCAACCAACAACTCTTGGATCGACTGACACACCTCACCACCGCTGGTCAAGTAATCAACTGCTGCCAACCTTCCGTCACTTTCGTTACAGGAACGAAACCGACCACTTCGCCATACCACGAGATACTTCGTGATTTTCCGTCATTAACTCGACCCAACAGCCACATCACCTCTTCGAAACATGCAACAAGGCACTATATCAACACTACCCCCGGTCCACCCGTATCATGCAAACCACGACGTTTAGCCCCGGACCGTTTCTCTGCCGCCAAAAGAGAATTTAAAACGTTGGTACAACTGGGTATCGTACGTCCCTCCTCCAGCCCCTGGGCATCGTCACTGCATATGGTCCCAAAGAAAGACGATGAATGGCGCCCATGCGGAGACTACCGTGCTCTCAACGCGAGAACAATCCCGGACACGATAGACTTGGTTAGAGCGTATAACCAAATTCCAGTCGCAGAGGAAGACATTCCAAAGACAGCCATTACAACACCTTTTGGATTGTTCGAGTTTCCTCACATGAATTTTGGTTTACGTAACGCCAGCCAAACATTTCAACGTTTTATTGACGAAGTGTTACACGGCCTTGATTTCTGTTTTGCTTACATCGACGACATACTGGTCGCATCAGAAAATGCTGAACAGCACAAACAGCATTTACGCACGTTATTTACTCGTCTACATTCATACGGAATACTGCTTAACCAAGCAAAATGCAACTTTGGTAAACAGGAAGTCTCTTTTCTAGGTTATTCTGTCTGGGCAAATGGAATACGCCCTTTACCCGACAGAGTAACAGCAATCTCCAATTTCCCCAAGCCTACTACCGCAAAACAATTGCGACGATTCCTGGATATGCTCAACTTTTACAGGAAGTTCCTGCCTAACGCTGCCCGCACTCATTCTGCTCTGAATGAACTTTTACTGGGGAAAATCAAAGGAAATGCACCACTACAACGGAATCCCACAGCCAACGAGGTATTCAATTCAAGTAAGGAGCAACTGGCGCAGACTACTCTCCTGCACCATCCACAACCAGATGCTACCTTAGCAATTTTCTGTGACGCATCCGACCATCACTTGGGCGCTGCGTTACAACAATTCCACAATGGAACCTGGGAACCCCTTGCATTTTTCTCCTCCAAGCTATCGAACGCTGAAGTTAAATACAGCGCCTTCGACAGAGAACTTCTCGCGATTTATCGCAC